CTCCATCCATCCAACCTTTCTATCCATACATGTCTGTCTGTCTGTATCTATCTATCTCCCTCCCTCCCTCTCTTTACCTCCCTCCCTTTGCAAGTAGAAGCATCACACATAAGATGTTGGTATTTAACTGGAGGTCAGCTGGGTTTTCTTTTCTCTTTTCTGAACAGGAGATCATTGGAAAAAAAAACAACCAGCCTGTTTGCCTCGCACTTCAACGCCACCAGCCTAACCCCTCCGCAGAGTTGCACGGAGCGATCTATGCAACCTTGTTCGACTCCTCTTTGATTTTTCACGATGCAGAAGGGCAGTCAAACAGGTAACCAGGTTAAACAACTGCAGCGTGTTGTTGTGATGCTGGAGCATTTGCAATTCCAACATGCTCAATGCCTGCTCGCTGTGTCGCCCCCCCGTCCCCCCCCCAAAAAAAAGGTTTGGAGAAGAAAGGGAACCGAGCTTGGATTTTATTTTTATTTTTTTGAGGCAGAGAATCAGCAAACCCCCCCCCCCCCCCCCGGGGCCACCCACTCCTTTTACCATTATTTACTTTCCCGGTTTGGATTATTTATATGCTCAGCCGGAATGGGGGCTCTTGGGGGCTCATTACCCAGAACGCTCTTGGCTGGATCCTCGACTCTCCACGGGAGAGATGCTGGCCGAGTGACTGGAATTCTTATGGGCGGGTTGTTTCCCCGGCGAGACGGAAGGTGAGTGGGACCTCGCTTTGGACTTGACGTGACAGTGCGACCGCCTCTTCTTCTTTTCGTGCGGGCTTCTGAAAAGGGAAACAGGAACACACAGAACAGTCCTGTTAGACTAAACCAGGGGTGTTGAACTTGACTTCATTGAGGGCTGCATCAGGATTGTGTTTGATCTCGGAGGGCCGGGGTGTGGCAAGGGTGGGCTTGGCACAGGACTTGTGTCGGGGGCACCTGTGGTGGCCAAGTGCTAAGGCACGACTTCCCCAAGACCTACCCACATTCTCATTATAACCCTTCCTTCCTTCCTTCCTTCCTTCCTTCCTTCCTTCCTTCCTTCCTTCCTTCCTTCCTTCCCTTCCCTTCCCTTCCCTTCCCTTCCCTTCCCTTCCCTTCCCTTCCCTTCTTTTTCCTTCATTCTCCTTTCTTCTTCCTTCCCCTCTTTCCTTCCTTGCTCCCTTCCCATCTTCCCTTCTTTTTCTTTGCCTTTCCTCTTTCCCTTTCTCCTTTCCTGTCCCTTCTTGCAGGCTCAAATGCAATAAGGGAAACATTCCTCCTTTTGTTTTGATAGCCCCCTGCCAGTGAAAATGGAGCTGGGGGGAGCTCTGTTTTTGCTGGCAGAGGGCTATCAAAACAAAATGCTTGCTGTTCTTTGCTGTTTCCAGGCTGGCCCTGTGGGCCTGATCTAAGCACCCCGAGGGCCGGATTCATCTCCTGGGCCTTGAATTTGACACCCCTGGTGTAAAACATGCAATTGCAACAGAGGAAAAGGGGAAACCAACCAACCATACATACGTACAATCCAAGAAATTCTCCCCCCTCCCATTTTCCCAGGCTCAAGAAAGTGGCAGGGTGGAAGCGTCTGGTGCTAATATGACTTCCAGAGCTGACAGTTGTAAACGGAGAACTACCACACTTCTCTCTCAGGGAGAGTCACAAAAATCACGCAGCAGGAAAGGATGTCAGGGATTACACCAGGGGTGTCAAACTCAATTTCATTGAGGGCGATTTAGGGCTGTGCTTGACCTGGCGGGGTGGCGGCGATGGTTGGTCGTGGCTGACTGGTTGAATATGGCCAACTGGGTGGGTGTGGCCAGCTTGATGCCACTCCCCAAATGGCTGGCATGTTTCCTCTTCGCATTGGCTAGACCAGGCCGAAGCGATGTGGGCCGGCCCTTCCATTTTGTCAGGATGGCCCTGTGGGCTGGATCCGACCACATCGCGGCCCTGATCCGGCCCACGGGCCTTGTGTTTGACACCCCTGGATTACATAATCTATCCCTGATTTGTATTGGTAGGAAGAGAGGAAAGAGCCTGGGGTTGGAGTCAAGAGAGGAATCAGCCTGGAATCAGTATGTTGCCACAAATGGTCTAAGAAGTCCAACCCCATTTGAATTCCATTCACCCTTATCTGGAGCTAAGTTGGCACTGATCATTACTTGACTAGATTCTTGTGTGATCAATACATCAAATTCACTGGAACTTAACTGGTTATTCGTGCCCAATATTATTTGATTTTCTAGAGCACTTCAGATAGATGAGCATCCAACCTCTGTCTGAAGTTCTCTAGCAAAGGAGACGTTACCACTTTAGAATATAGAATCATAGGGCTGGAAGGGACCTTGGAGGTCTTCTAGTCCGACCCCCTACTGAAGGCAGGAGACTTTACCATCCCAGTCAAATGCTTCTCTACTCTTATTCTTGAAAACCTCCTGCGATGGAGTACCTACAACTGTAGGAGGCAAGCTATTCCACTGATTAATTATTTTCATTGTCAGGAAATTTACCTTACCTATTATTCTATCCGAATACAGTAGAGTAGAACAGAATAGGAATAGGAATAAGAATAGAATAGAATAGGGTTGGAATGGACTTTGAAGGTCTTCTAGTCCAACCTTCTGCTCAATGCAGGAGACTTTATACTACCCCGGTCAAATGGTTGTCCAGTCTATTTTACAATCCTTGTTTCCTGTCATTTAATTCTCCAGTTCTTTTTTAACCAATGGCTCTTAATCCCCAGAATTACTTAGTTGGGTTAGCCAACACTCGTACAATCAAGATATTCCTCTTACTGTCTGGCCATAACCTCCTCCAATAAAGGAGGATATTTGTAGCTCAGAATTGAAATGAGGAGTCCTTAAACCTAACCCAAATCAGTGCTAGCAATGATGATGTTACTTAGTTTGGGTGATGAAATGTCTGCAAGAAAACCACTAAATTCAGAGAGCACAAAGGACCCCATTGTACATCTAATCTATGCTGAGAGCCTGCAACCAACGCACTCCTTCTTGCAGAGATAATCTTTTTAAAGCTCACCAATATGTAGCCGGTACTTAATATGCCCTACAGTGGAAGCTGCCCCGTAAAAACAGCTTTTCTTCTTTTCTTCCCAGCTTGCGTGAGGCTGATTTGACCAGGTAGCCCAACCAGCCATGGCAACTGAAAATGGCTGTTGTTAAAAGGGAGATGTTTTACAGAAAAGCTATCTCATTACAGAAATGAAACAAGGGGATCAGCTAAAAACTTGGCATTCTGCTGAGCTGTTGAGATAACACCAGGCTTTGTGGCTGGGAACATTTCCCCCCAATCAAACAATGTCCAATTCTGTTATCAGCTGCAAACCTTACTCCTTAATCTCCAGTCTCTGCCTTGAGATATAAGGAGGGGAGAAAGTAGATGCTGGCTGAAGGAGGAGGAAAAAGCATTATTTCAGAGGAAAGAGTAGGTGATGCTTCTTATCTGACTCAATCCAGTTTCTTTTTTCTCTAGCAAAGAATATGCCTCTTAGTAGTTTGCTCTGGGAAAGCTTTTACAGGTCTACCATGCTTGATGTCCTTCAACTTCATACTTTAAGTGATGTTGGCACAGCTATGGGCTCACACTGTAGCTCAACGAGCGAGCTTCTGGTTTGAATTCAGAAGAACCACGTTTCATTCCCTCATCTCTTTGGGCATCGGAGAATGATGAGCACCAACTAATGTCCATCTCAAATGTTGGCACAGCTATGGGCTCACACTGTAGCTCAACGAGAGAGCTTCTGGTTTGAATTCAGAAGAACCACGTTTCATTCCCTCATCTCTTTGGACATCGGAGAATGATGAGCACCAACTAATGTCCATCTCAAATGTTGGAAGAGATATGGGCTGACATTGTAGCTCAACGAGCAAGCTTGTGGTTTGAATTCAGAAGAACCAGGTTTCGTTCTCCCCATCTCTTTGGGCATTGGAGAATGATGAGCATCAACTAATGTATGTCCCATCTCAAATTGTCTTCTGGATGGTGGCTATAGTGAAGATGATGAAGTGATTAGAATGCAGCATTGCAGGATAATTGTGCCAACTGCCAGCAGTTTGATTCTCACTGGCTCAAGGTTGACTCAGCCTTCCCTCCGAGGTGGGTAAAATGAAGACCCAGATTGTTGGGGGCAAGAGGCTGGCTCTGTAAAGCACTGTGACACGGTATATAAGTCTAAGGGCTATTGCTATAGCTACACCACTTTCAAAAGAATGAAGATGGGATACATACTGGATAAATGAATAATTATGGAAACCAATTTTAAGTAGGAAAAAAAGATTGAATGAAAAGGAAGAATGGCTCTGCTTCTAACCCCAAACCAGGGCGGACGTGAAGCGCTCAGATCGATGCATGCATCTGTTGGGGTTATTGTGAAAGATTCATTAGTTTTCATCATAGGGATGGAGAAAAGGGGGGGAGGGGGAGAGAGAGAGAAATTCAGCCCGGCTTAATTTACGGCAGGACCTCCCTGCCCTCTGCAAACAAAGGCAGCTCTGACTCGGCTGCACCGAATGAGCCTTGTACTGAGTCTTGATAAATAGAAATCAGCCAATATATCATCCTCGCTCAAGTCAGGACTCTTCTCACATCAAATACCCAAAAGCCCAATGTGCTGTTAACGGTCATCCCGTTTTAAAGTCGCAAGCGCAGAATTTACGGGCCGGCAAAGAATGTTTCGAGCTTGCAAGGGTGGCTATCCTAGAGACACCGATGTTGAGTTGATGCCCTACCTGAGATTAAAGGCTCTTCTTGGGGGAAGGTGTGGATTCCCCCGGGGGCCAAACCAATGCGAGGAGAAATCTGGACCTCTTAATTAATTAAGAATCCCCATGTTCTGATCCAGTTCCCCAAACACCACAAACCCTCTGAAGTTAATGCAAAGGTTTCTTTATTAGCAGCACCAGCAGCCCCGGCAAAAAAATTCTCTCTCAATGCAGGGAGATGAATAGTTGTTTGCCAAACCTATTCCTCTCCACCCCCTGCCTTTTATCCCCAGAGCTAGGGTGGAGTCTCGCTAGCAGCGGTGGCTCTTCCATTCCAAGGACCGGCCCATAGATTTCCACTGCTCTCCTCTCCTCTGCCTTCTGTGCATCCGTGCATCAGGCACTGGACCCAGCTGTTCCTCCTCTTCCTCATCAGCCACCTTCAGACCTGGGGACTGTTGACTCTCCATCTGAGGGCTGAGGGACGGCCCAGGCTCCGGCCCCCTCTCTTCCAGCTCCATTTCCTCTTCCCCCTTGGAGCTCTCAGGTTGCCTTGATGCTGACCCTGACTCCAACGCTTCCTCCTCCTCCTCATCTGATTCGGTTGCTAAGCTACAACACAAGGATGGCTATCCTAGAGACAATGATGTTGAGTTGATGCTCTACTTGAGATTGAAGGTTCTTCCTGGGGGCAGGTGTGGATTCCCTCAGGGGCCAAATCAATGAGAGGAGAAATCTGGCCCTCTTAATGAAGAATCCCCAATTCTTGGGCCATTGAACAGGTAGACTTAAGGGGTGCATTTCCCTGGCTGGTGCTTTATTTATTTATTTATTTGATTTATACTGCCGCCTATTCGCCCATGGCGACTCGAGGCGGCTTACAAAATGTAAAACCAAATTTAAATGTGCATTGGAAAAAAGGCAGACGGAGAACGAGGCACACGCAAATAAGACCAGCACAGATAATCCTCGACTTACAACCTCAACTGAGCCCAACACTACCGTTGCTAAGCAAGACAATTGTTCAGTGAATTTCACCCCATGTTATGAGCTTTCTTGCCACCGCTGTAAAAGTGAATCCCTACACTTGTTAAGTTAGGAACATGGTCGTAAAATGGAATTCACTTCGCGTGTCCAAAGGGCGTAACAGGGGAACACCTAACCCTGGGGTACTGCAACCGTCATAAATACGAAGCGGTGGCCAAGCGTCTGGATTCTGACCATGTTGGATGCTGCAACGGTCATTAAGTGTGAAAAACGAAGTCCCTTTTTTTTCAGTGAAGTTGTAACTTTGAATGGTCACTAAATGAGAGAGATCTAACCTAGAACCAAGGAGAAATTTCCTGACAGTGAGAACAATTAATCAGTGGAAGAGCTTGCCTTCAGAAGCTGTGGGTGCTCCAATACTGTTTTTTTTTTTTTTTAAAGAAGAAACCGGACAACCATTTGTCTGAATGCCTGAGCAGGGGGTTGGACTAGAAGACCTCCAAGGTCCCTTCCAACTCTGTTATTCTATATTCTGTATAAACTGTTGTAACCTGTACTTCTAACTTGTGGCTGAGAGTATGCCCACCTTGGAAGGAGAGGCGTTAAGATCTCCAGCACGTATCTCGCCACCCTTTTATGAGGATGGATGTAAACGGGTGTGCATTTCTCCGTAGAGAAGGTAGGATGTAAGGACGGCATGCATGCACAGGGAAAGCCACACACCGCATATTTTAAAACCTCGTGCAATGGAGATGGATGGAACTGCCTTGCACCCTCATAAACCTCACCCTCCTTGGGCAGCTTCCTTCTCAATCAGGGCTGTTTGCATTCCTCCTAACCAAAGCCTCCTAAATCAGAGAATAATTCGAGCCATAAAGATGCTGAAAGGCGCCCAACCTCGCTCCTGCGACTTTCTATATATCATTCTCCTGGATTTCGTGGCTGAGTCTACGAGCATTGTCCCTTTTGCTTTCTGGCCAGTTTATATTTGCAATTATTAACAAATTGGGATCCGTGCCCAGAAGCGTCGACTGAAAGGATGTGTTAATAATAATAATAATAATAATAATAATAATAATAATAATAATAATAATAATGATGATGATGATGATGATGAATCTCTCGGGTTTATGCCCTTTCGAATCGGGGTCTCAATGCCGCAACCTAATTTCATAGCTCATCTGTAAATGAAAAGGGGTCAGCGAATCGACCATAAAACCTACGGAAGGAAGATAACAGGTGTTTTTTTTTCTAGCCTCTTTAGTAAAATTGATGGAGAAAGCATCCTGAAGAATGTCTGGCCTCCTTTGTTAAAAAACACATCCTTGTTTATTGAATGCCTCCTTTAACAACCATTTGCAGTGGTGACAGTGATGAAAAAGTAACTTTGCAGCTGACCCTTGCATTTATCACAGGTCTGTAAACCAAAAGAATGGAGGAGATAATACAGTGTGGTTTCACTTTGTGACCGGTTCACTTAATAGCCGTGCTGCCGGCCCCAACTGTGGTCGTTAAATGAGGACTAACTTATGTTTTAAAAGCAAACGGAGAAACTTGATGTGAAGAGCCGGACAAAGCCATGTAATCAAGAAAACCTCAGTGTTCTCATTCTGGAGTAACACAGGTGTGCTGCAAACACAATTGTGTACCTGGAACGGGTGCGTCGTCTGCTGATGCCTGGGCTGTTGCTCACACGATAGGCAGTCGGGACACTCCTTTCTTCCCGATGCCTTTCGGGTGTGTGTGCCCGTCTTCTTGGTGATCTTGAGCGGGACCTGAATGGGCGACAGGGGAAAATTAAATTCACCCTGGAAGGATTTTGAGGATCTTTAGGTTTCTTGATAGGGGCATGCCACAGGATTATCAAAGAGGAGTACAAATTCTGGCAAATCCATATAAAAGGGAAAAAAATGTGGGTTTGTTACAACCTGAATACTGTTA